TTTTCTCATATGATGAAGATGCAATATGCAAGGCATGCATCAATGAACGGTATCTTTTTTTTTTCTCTTTAATAACTCCATGTCACTTTAACTCCCTACTATTGGGTAATTGGGATACCTAGAGTTTCTTAGACTTTTTTTTCTTCTTTAGAAAATATCTTCAACAAAGAAAGTCATGACGTGATGCACAGCACTGTACAACCGGGAGCGGTCAGTGTCACACTCACACATACACAGACCGCCCGTTCCGCCCGTTGCATAAAGTTTCTTTTCCCCATTCCGTCAGTTGAACCCCATGCCCACGAGGAGAATTCCCGTCACTTCAACCCAACAGGACGGAGCGTCGCAGCCCAGAAACTCAATTCCGGGGCCATGAATCAAGTATCCATTTGACTTGAATCATCACCTCAGTATTTGTGCTTTGCAGTAACTGTTTTGGTTGCAGCCTAACAATTACGAACGTCTGTTTCGTTCGTTATACTGATTACGATTGTACGATACGATAGATTAACCGTAGTGTAGTGTGTTGGTATGGCACTTGCAGTGCTAGGCAACCTTCAGCGGATCTCCTGCCGACCCGACTGATTGACTTGGCTTCCCAATCCGGTGGTGGTCCACGGTGGCATGGCACATTCCCCGAGCGAGTCCCGAAGCGAAAGAGGGGTGGGTGGTGAATCGTCGAGTCGGGGATATGCGGGCTTGGGTTTTGGGGTCCGCCGAGAATATCCAGCGTGCTGATGTTTCGGGTCGGGTTTGTTCTCGATGCCGGATGGACAATTTCCTTAAGTGATATGGTAGATAACTAGAGGTTTCTTCCAACACTTTCAGGTTAATCTGCTCGGCTACGGTGCGATGTTAACTTGCCGCGCGGGAAAAGATTACACTCATGTGCTGGAGTTCCGGTGGGGCTTGTATCTGTTATTGGAGGGTGGTAATAAGTAATTTGATTACGATGAGTGGCGGGTATCGGTTCCTTAGCGATGTCTCGTGTAGTTAATCTTCCGTCTGGTTTGTTGCTCTGTGATGGATTGAGGCTCAGGCAAATCGTGGCATGAGTGATGATCATGAGCCTAACTGACTAGTTAATGCAGGGGATGACTAATTATGCTCGGTTCATAGTCCCCCCGGGGGAATCTGGTTATGCCTGATTTGGGAGATTCGAAGGCGACCCGTGACCCGTACTTACTTCGGCTCCGGTTGCAGCGATCCAACTGACTCGGGAGTTTGAAGATTTGACGATGGTTTTTGCTACATGATCTCGTTCCTGCTTCAGATCTTACTGCTGATGGGTACGATTCAGAAGTCGGCTGTCGGTAAAGCATATACTGCACTGGACGTGCTGTACACTGATCGCGTATTTGACAGTTGGATGGAAAGAGCACAGCTGATACTCATAAGCACCCGGGACAAGCTGCGCGCACCTTTGTCGATCTTTTGATTTGGATGCTCTGTGCTTCAGAGAAAACTCTGCTGTTCCTAGCCTTCTGCTGGGCTCGAGAGAGATGTCCTCAGCTACTAGGAAGCAAGCCTTTCGGCGATAATGCATGCACACCTCCGACTTCATGCGGGCCGACACCCGCCGGTGCTCGGATAACCGCTTGTCACTTGGGGTCGAGTCGCCTATAACTATAACTAAGATAAGGCGGAGAAGCCATCGACCAAACTCCACTGATGCGGATCGATGTTATGATAGGACGATCATTCGAAGTGAGTCCGCCTTTGGCGCAGGGTCTAGTGTGTTCGATTCCACATGAAATGAAGAGAGCGCGTGCTCATTACACAATGAAGGCAGATAAGAGGCAGCATTCGTATGTTATCACTTCTTGGGATACTTCACAAAAAAAAAGGAATTCATAATACTCATGGCAAAGGGATTCACTTTTCCCCAGTTTCATCTCGCTATCTACCAGATATACCGATAGCGCTGTTGACCATCCCGCTCCTCCGCCTCCTTGGCCCTTTCATTGAGGAGATGGAGGTAGACGGCCAACAACGACGTCAACACAATCCCCGCCGCGGCAAAGGACGAGAGCGTGATCCCACCAGACCGATACTGAGGCCCGTCGGAGCTGGGGAAGAAGTAGGAGCCGTAGATGTTGGACGAGTTGCCGAACAAGTTCACCAGCGCATACACGATGGCGCGCTTGGTCCGCGTGCGGGGGATCGTACTCGCGATCCACGCCTGCACGACGTTGAACGCCGAGAACGACCCGGCGCACATCAGGAACATCCCGACGTACCGCACCGCCATGGCGCGCGACGAGATGACCATGATGTTGCCCACGATGTCCACGCACAGGGGCCAGATGATCAGGATCGCGCGGTGGTTGGTGTGGTTCGCGATCAACGAGTTTCCCAGCGCTGTGAAGAACCCGAAGACGTACACGGGGGCCGTGATGAGGAGGGTGATTGTGCTGTTGAACCCGAGGGTTTTGACGATGGTCTGTAGCAATCCGTTAGAGTCTGATAATTTTGGGGAGTTGGACCTTGGCGTACGGGGAAGAAGTAAGTCCAGCTTTGGGAGGTGAGTTGGCAGATTTGGATGGAGATCAGCATCCATGCCTTCGGGTCGGTGAGTGCATCTCTCAAGCCCTCCTTGACGGACCCGTTCTCATCGACCTCATCGTTGGCCGCGCGCGCCAGGCGCCATTCGGCGAACCGCTGCTCCTGCTCGTTCAGCCACTTGCGCTGTCCCGAGCGCGGGAAGTCGGGCAGAAGCACCACCGCCAGTAGACCTGCTACCATCGTGCCGGCGCCTTCGATGATGAAGAGCCATCTATTTTGCTTTGATCAGTATCGTCGTATGACAGATCCTCGCTTCGTCTTAGAGGCAAGCGGACAATCACTCACCTCCAGCCAGCGAGACCGCCTTTTCCATTCAGCCCATCCATGATACCCGCGGCAAGCAGGCCGCCAAACCCGTTGGCCACCGTGTTTCCGCAATACACCAAAGCCACCCGCACGGCGATTTCCGACGGCTTGTACCAGGAACTAATCAGAAGTCTATACAGAGGGGTCAGCCACACTACAGCAAATTTGTCATGGACAGGATACCTACAATGCTCCGGCGAAGAAAGGCGATTCGGCGAACCCGAGAAAGACTCGCACACACATGATCCCGGCAAAGCTCTTGGTGGCGGCTGTGCAGAGCGAGATGCCGCCCCAGATGAAAATGGCCGTCGGAATGTACCGCGAGGGCTGCAGGCGGGTGAGGAGAATGTTACTCGGGACCTGACCCAGCAGATACCCGACGAACTATGGCGAGCATTTCGTGAGCATACTAATATGCCATGTGGACACATTCAAGTGCGACTTACCATGATGGCCACTGCTGTCTGATACTGGGTATCCGACAGATGGAGGTCCTCCTGCATTCCCCCGAGACGAGCATTGGCAATGTTCGACCGATCGAGGATGTTGAAGATGAATAAAAGGAATAGCGATGAGACCAGGTGGAGATCGATCTTTCGAACCACTGTGCGGGTATTAGCTTGTCCAGCCTCCAGCATGAGAAGGAAGTCAATGGGGCAATCGCACATTTCTTCTCTAATGCCTGAGTCTCTTCGTCCGATAGTCCTTCGAAGGACTCCGAGACCCGGTCATCGTACGGTTTTGTGGTCGATTCTACATGGAATGATGATGCTTTGTCGACATCCGCCATGTTGCTGGTTCAGGAAGGCACGGAAGTTCTTGACTCCACAAACCAAGTGGAATGACTGGGAATGCAAAGAATTATGCGAGAGAAATGGACACAAGTAGTAGGGGTCAATTGATGAAGGGAATATATACACAGAAAGAAATGCCGGCCTTGGTCACAGCAGAAGGGCATCTACACAGAATCGTTTCACTGGACTAGGGCTTATATACCTTGTCTGGGGTAGTATAGGGACACATTTACCCCGGTTCTGATGAGTCCCGCATCAGACAACAAACCGGGGAAATGCGGGACTCGCAACTCGTCTAGCGGCGCATGCGTGGGGGAACCCCAGACGCGAGGCATTGGCATCTGGGGTTTGTCCATCTCCGCTCTCCGCTGGTCATCATTCAATACGAAAGTTTAAATCTAGTGGAGTTCATCCTTAGTTCGGCGGATATGTCACTGCCAACAAGTTTTGAGACTGCGCAATGTATTGCACCCCATATGAGCAAGAAGATATGCTTAGACCCAAGTCAATGGCACACGTATCACACCCCATGTGTGATGGACATCATCTATCTGAATGCCATCATATCTGCCGATCTGAGCTAGAGAGTCCTGTCATGAGCGCACAGAGGCAAGGTCGGCACCGAAGACCGGATCAGATATGGCCCCGCCCACTTCCCCCTCCATCTCCGCACATTTTCCGCGGAGTTTCCGACACGTATCCGGCGCGTCGGGTTCTTCTCCAAGCGGGAATGCTCCCCGAGTTTGAAAGCTCGGATCAGGTTAGACTTCAGGCTAAGCTTGCGGAGCTGACAGGCCTTCCAAGTACCACGGATTTTCTCCAATGCACCACACTACGCTTCGACCCGTCAGTAGTCGCTCAAGTGACTCCATTTCCGCATGGGCGTGAGCTTCGACCGTAGCCCCACGGGGAGCTTGCCCCATGGGGGAGAGTGACGGTAGGATCCGTGCGTCATATCCAAGAGCAGCACTTGGGTTGCTTGGAGTCTCAAGCGTCCTATGCTCTAGTCAGTCTGGTCGATGGGGTTGTACTATACGCAGGAATCTTACCAACTGCCCTTTTCTTTTCAATCTGCCACTCAAACTGACGCTGAAAATAGTCGGGCACCATGTCCAAGAGCCTTGCAGACCATGTCGAGGATATTGCCAATCCATCTACCCAGAAGGACAAACTGGATGTATCAAAAGAGCATCGAGGCCCCGACTCCATCGACCCAGTAGCACGGGGGAGGGTGGTGCGGAAGATCGATTGCTTCGTGATTCCCTTCATTTGCATCACTTACCTGATCACGTACATAGACAAGGCCATGCTGGGATACGCAGCTGTCTTCGGGTTGAAAGAAGATCTGCACCTGAAGGGAGATGAGTATAGCTGGCTAGGTGAAGTTGATCTCCTCTTCAGCCACTTCATCCATACTGACTTGAAACATGATAGCAAGTATGTTCTATTTCGGATACTTAGCGGTATATAAATCATCTCAAGTTTCTGCCTAGGCATATGGCTGGGTTGCTGACATGATGCAAACCTACAGTTCGAATATCCATCGAGTCTGGTGATGCAGAAGCTTTCAGTGCCGAAATGGCTCGCAGCGAATATGATCATTTGGGGTGGGATTACAATGGCTCTCGCAGCATGCCATGGGTTCCAGAGCTTTTTGGCCCTGCGGTTCCTGCTAGGAGGCTTGGAATCGTGCTCCACTCCGGCCTACCTTCTGATCACAGCTACTTGGTATACGATCGAAGAGCAACCCATTAGGATCGGGTGGTGGTCGACCTTTCTGGGCGTTGCCAATTCCTTTGGTGGTCTGTTAGCGTTCCTGATTGGGCATATCCACGGTTCTCTCGCGTCCTGGCAGTACCAGTTTATCATTCTTGGCGCAGTCTCGGTGGGATGGGGAGCCTTCATGATGTTCACGCTGGCAGACGGGCCGTATAATGCGTGAGTCTGTTTTGCACCGATGCACGGGTTTTCTTCACGCTCACCCGTCTCTCCTTAGTTCGTGGCTGAGCGAAGAAGAAAGGGAGGTTGTCGTCAGGCGCCTTGGTCCCGCCCATTCGGGGGAGCCTGTGCACGAGATCAAGCGGTATCAGATCTGGGAAGCACTGACTGACCCCAAGACATGGCTGTTCTTTCTCTGCGGTGTGTGCACCCAGGTCGTGAACGGGGCCGCCAGCAACTTCGGTAGCCTGATCATCGAGGGATTCGGGTACTCGAACCTCGTGACCACCCTCTTTCAGATCCCGTACGGGATGGTCATTCTCGTCTCCAACGTCTCCGCGATGTACCTGCAGCGCTGGCTGCCCGGCCAGAAACGCTGCCTCGTGGCTTGTCTCTACGTGTGTCCGGCCGTGGCAGGGGCTGTGGGACTGCATACGATATCCAGGACGCACTTCATGGCGTTGCTGGTGTGTTATTGGGTGAGCTATTGTACTGTCATTCCATACCGCCAGAAAAATGCTAAATGCTATCTAGTTGACGAGTACATACACCGCCTCGTTCGCGATGATCATGTCGCTCATCACGGCCAACACGGCGGGCGCAACGAAGCGGTCGACAGTCAACGCCGTTTTTTTTATCGCGTACTGCGTGGGCAACATTGTGGGTCCGTTTAGCTTCAAGGGTACTGAGGCACCGGCGTATACGTCGGGCATTGTGACGATGCTGGTGGCGTACTGTGTGGAGATTGTCCTCCTACTTGTCTTTGCGGCTTACATGGCGTGGCTCAACAAGCGTAGGGATGCGGTCGTGGCTGCTGAGGGAGTGCGGTTGGATAATGCTGCGGAGCAGGTTGATTCAACGGATAAGGAGAATGTGTACTTTCGGTACTCTTATTAGCTGTAGGGTCAGATTGTTCTTATGGGCTTAGGAGAATGGTCATGTCTCGTTTGAGTGGGGTATTTCTATTGGGTTGGAGGAGCGTGCGTATGATTGAACTGTCATGATATGCTTCTGTCGGTCGAAATAGGCCGAACACGACAACACCTGTTTTCCTAGAAGAGACTACGATGTCAATGTCAATGCTTGTTCTGATCTCAAAGCTACCTACCGTAATTGCTATAGTGGAGTGGCAAACCCAAGTCCTTGCCCAGTGGAAACCGAACTGAGTATGAAAGCGAAGGCTGGCTGCTGTACCTTGGAAAATGAAAGCGGGGAGGAGTGGGGGAGAAGCAGAGAGTGGGATGGATCGCTCTCGCCGCGTTCCATGAATTCCGCTGCGCGCTTTTCCGTCGCAATTAGGGCTGCGGGGGCGGAAATCCGACCGTGGACCGCCGCCCACTTACTCTTTGCGGTTGCGGAGTGAGTATACCTAGTACAGTACCTCTGTGAACTCGAAGCTCCAGCCAAAAAGTTATATTGCAAGACATCCTTCCCCACGTCAATTCCATCTCCAACAAGCATTTTTCCTCTCCCCAACCAGTCACCATGTCCCTTCCCACGCACTTCACCCTGAACACGGGGGCCGCCATCCCCGCCGTCGGCTTCGGCACCTGGCAAGCCAAGCCCCTGGAAGTCGAGCACGCCGTCGAAATCGCCCTGCGCCAGGGCTACCGCCACATCGACTGCGCCGCCATCTACCGCAACGAGACGGAAGTTGGCGCCGGTATCCGCAAGGCCGGCGTGCCGCGCGACCAGATTTTCATCACCGGCAAACTGTGGAACACCAAGCACTCGCCCGAGGACGTCGAGCCCGCGCTCGACAAGACCCTGCAGGACTTGGGCGTCGAGTATCTGGATCTGTATCTGATGCATTGGCCTGTGTATGTCCCCCGGCCTCAACCCCTCACCTCCTCCTCACTCCCCCCCCCCCCTCCCGCAATCAGCAGCCCACACACTAACAAATCGATATAATGGGCGGGGAGTATAGGGCCTTCAAACCCAGCACAAAATGGTTCCCCCTCAATGAATCCGGCGTGTTCGAACTCGCCCCCACCGACCCGGTAACCACCTACAAAGCGATGGAGAAGCTCCTCGCCACAGGCAAGGTCCGCGCGATCGGCGTGTCCAACTTCACGGCGGCGCGGCTCGACGACCTATTGGGCAAGGTGGAGGTCGTACCCGCCGTGAACCAGATCGAGGCGCACCCGTACCTCCAGCAGCCTGAGCTGTTGCAATACTGCCAGAGTAAAGGGATCCTGGTGGAGGCGTACTCGCCGCTGGGCAATAACCAGAGTGGGGAGCCCCGCGCCGTCGACGATGCGGTCGTGCAGGAACTGGCGGGGCAGGTCGGGTTGGATGCCGGGCCGGTGTTGCTGAGCTGGGGCGTGCAGCGCGGGACGGTCGTGTTGTCGAAGAGTGTCACCCCTGCTAGGATTCGGGCGAATATTCAAGTTCAAAGGTTGGGGGAGGAGGTGATGCGGAGACTGGATGCGCTCGAAAAAGGGAAAAGGTTTAATTTCCCGGCTAGGTGGGGCAGTGATATCTTTGGGGAGGTTGGGGAGGATGCGGTGCGTCGGGCCGCGGTGGAGGCTGCGGAGGAGAATTTGGTGAAGTTTAATGTTTGATTTTGGGGTGGGTTTATGGTTGGGTTAAGGAGGGGGTTTGGTCTTGGTTCGTGCTTGATAGACTTTGTTTTGATGGATGAGTGTACTTTCATATAGTGCCTTGTATAATCGTCCTGCCCACCCAAACTCTTCAAAATTGTTTCCAAACCCTAGGCCAATCTCTAGTACGGATGCAATTAGCATGCAAATAACGCCTCTTGGCAAGCTCTGTCACGTCTTCTACTTTATGCCAATATTACAGCTTCATATTACAGTACCCCAAAACAATGAATACAGGGTTTAAAAAGCTTTTGGTTGTACACAAGTGAAACAGCCGAGGGACGTGCTGGTATTCTTCTCATATCTTGTCAACGAAAGCTACTCCTGTCTCACAATGCTGGCCTTGGTGATAGAAAATCCACGCCCTGCTTGTTATTTTCCTAAACCTATCAGCTGGGTTTGCTTGATTTCATATCATCAAATTGAGCCAAACACTGCAGCCGCATATAGCCATGCTGTCTACTATTCCCCGCGAGATACATCATAACGAGCCACCGTGCATACAAGGCAAACGGGCATATAGCAAGGGCTCGGTAGGTGATATATTTAATTAGAAGTCAACAATGGATGCTATGTCGAACTATGCACGATTTACGGAAATCAAGTTATATTAAGAAGCAACTTTAAGTGACTACAGAATCATGAAAGAAAAGACACAAGGTCACCTAGGCGCCGATACATTTGCCGAACTTCTGCGTACTAAATCCCGCCACCGTTAGGACCCAAAATTATATTCGATAAAAAAATAAAACTAGGGTACTAACCGTGGCCGCAGCGGTAAAGACTCCCACCTGATCTGCATGATCTATAGCTTCCGTCACACCAAGATGCCAGTACACCCCCCGATTGCTGGCAAGAGCAAGGGTATTGAAATTGGTACTGTCCTTGATTTCATTTTCCTTAGGACCGCGCATTGATGCAGTATCAACAACACCATCATTCTCCTCAGAAAGGCCAAAGGGGGCGTTAACTCCGCTCATTCCAAGAGAGAATACAGCCAGGATGGGGAGCATGTCGTCACGAGGGATTCGTCGTCCTGGTCTCGGGATCCTGAACTGGTAGCCCAACCTACCAGTGTGGTAGTTGAAAGTATCCACGGCCCATCTTGCGATTTCAACATCACTAGGGCTTCCGGGAATGGATGTAAAAATCTTATAGGCCCCAGTGGCTAATAATGAGGTGCCCCTCGCTACTATATTCCCTGGCCCTGGATATAGGAAACCACCCAAAGTGAAGATTGGATTCGTTGGGAAATCCACCAGAAAACCGGGGCTTAGATTTAGTTTGGGAAAGGGCCTCGTAGCATCAAAGGACATCGTGAAGTAATAGGTTTTCTCAGACACTCGTGGATCGAAATCCTGGTTCAGCCTGGTAATTCCGTCAATTCCATTATCTCTGATTCCATTATGGTTCGAATTCCACCAGGTGAAAATAGCAGGCTGTAGTCGATTATGCATAGCCAGGAAGCTCTCCCCTGGGTTGGGTGTAAACCCCCATTGACCTAGTTGGAGATCGACGAATCGAGTTGGGTTGAGCGATGCAGATACCACAAGTCGGGATATTACCTCGTCAACTCGGACATCGCGAAGAATTTGCTAGGAAAGGACGTCAGAAATATTGATATTCAATGTTCTTGGACTCGCGAATGGGTACTAACATCAAAGACAACACTAGTGATGGTTGTACCTAGGTAAGGAGTGCCTAGGGTTACTACGGATTTGATCAATTCCTGTTGATTTCCAGAGGCAAAGTAAGATGGATGCCGTCGCGCGTGGCGGCCTGATAACAGCTCTATAAGCAGGCGAACAGTATTTCCACCCTGTGAGTGGCAGATCATATGAACTGGATTGCTGTCGTTCCATTGCCAGTCAGGGTCAATTTCTCCCAGGACAACCGCTTGCTTTGTTGACCGCGAAATTCCGGGAGGAAGATTGATATATTTCCCGTAGTCAACCTGAATATTAGTTGCCGGAAATCCTCCCCGTGTATCAAACCCAGTTCGAGGGCTGTAAAGAGTGAATCATTGCTGTATCATAGAAGCAGTATTGAGAAACATACCCTGCTCGTTGGATTGCATGGAGTTGACAGTAAAACTCACAAGCCCTTTCCCAATTGCTTGATATAGGCCCTATACGGGGTAGAATTATTGGAATGCGAGTATGTATCTGTAGTTCCGACGCAAGATCCTCGAATCCACCCCAGTAATTGATTGAACCGAAGAGAGGTTCGCCAAAGCCTGTGAACCCGGGGACTATTGGAATTGTCAGCCACAGTGCAATAAGAGGTAAATATTGGATTACCGAGAACGATCGGGTATGTATTTTTCTGAAGGCCAGCAGTACTCTCAAGGGTTGTGACCAGATCGTTGAGCTTTCGAACCCCCGAACTGGCAAGCTGACTCGGAGATTGCGCCATTTCTATATAGTCTCGACAGCAGTACCTCTGGATAACTTGAAACGAGCATAATATCTTGCTGGGTAGTAAGATTCTGAATGGGGTTGTTATGCCTTCTGGGTTCCTGGCAACATTATATAATATAATACCAGCTCTTGGTCAAATTGCCACCATATATCGTCATGAACTCATTGGTAATGTAACCGTGAACCCATACCTTGGCATCGATCTAGACTCCTGTAGATTTGAGGTTATTGGTAGAGTGGGCTGGATTAGCAGTGGTATATCTACGACTTAACAAATGATACATCTTCAATAGCAGAATCTGCTGAACGTACTAAGTATCAAACAGGCGGTTTAAAGTATATCTTGAATTCTTATTGGGCTGATTGTCTTAGAAAACTTATTTTCTTTGTTTTGTCCGATATTTATTTATTAGATTTTCTTATCTTCTACTAACCCGCTCCACAGCACCAGAGGAACCCTTTTGCAACTGTATTAAAAAGTCTATAACAGGCTTAATCACACTACCGTAAAGTGTAAGGCATTCTGGTATAAGATATTAATAAAAATAGTAAGTATCTATTATATATTATAAACAGTTAGGATTTATAAGATAAATATAAAAGCTAGTATTTTACTATAAACTTTTTATTTTTAGTACTAATCTTTATATAGCAGCAGTGCTCCACATCCCAACTTCTATATATAATATTTAGATAACAATAGAATATCGATAAAGTATTAAAGTATAATTTATCTTATATGTAGGCCTTTTTAGCTTTTTTTAACCTTTAATAATATAAATTTAGATAAAATATAAATTTAGAAGGTGGCTGTTTGCAGTCACTACTATACTGTTGATTTTAGTCTGATTTATCTAAAATATATATTTAATCTAATTAATAAATATCTAAGATCGCTTCATCGGTAGTTTTATTACTATTACTAGTAAAAAAATACTTTTAAATCTAAATATATTTAAATTAGAGTTTTTTTATTTTATAATCTAACTTTTACCGAAAGAAGATAATATCGTAATAATTAATTTAGAGAGAACAAATATATATACAACTACTGGAAAAGATAATTTTTAATTTATATTATAAAAAAAGATTTTTAAGTTTTAATATAACAGTTGTTAATAAAGTTACTCCAAATCTTAATCTTATCTGCTGATTTTAATAATAAGATAAATAGATTTAGATCTAAAATCTATTCCGTAATTATTATTTTTTATTTTTTAGACCACCAAACTATTGCAGTATAAGATCTGAAAAGAATTTTATATAATAAAAAAGATTTTATATCTATTTAATAAATTCTATAAATAGTAATCTTATAGAGATTATAGAATAGTTCTGTTTTTTTAATTTATAAGATCGTCTTTTAGTAGCTGGTTAATGTTTATTTATTATTAAGCAAACTATACTTATTATTATTTTAAGTAAGCTTGTATAGAAAACCTTTCGAATATTTAAAAGCTATAGATTATATATTAGATATATATTTATTAGATAATCTTTCTATTATCTTCTTATTACTTACTGCTCAGATCCTGTATATTTGAATTTTTAGAATCAATAATTATAATTTTTTAATTTATAGTATTTCTATTTATATTATATTCAGCTGCGGAGAATTCATTACTACTTTTTATTATATATTAAAAATAGAATATATTACCAACTCAATAATTTTTAAGCTTTTATTCTGATTTAGGTTATAATAATATATTACCGTATCTATTTATATTTTCAATTTATTCTTATTAAATCTAACTTTTACTTATATATAGTAATTGTATTTGGTTTTGTTGATTAATTCGGTAATGAAACATTTTATATATAAATAGATAGTATTTTATATTTGATTAATTATACTTTTAGATATAATATAATTATATAAAATATCAGCTATTATTAGAGTAAGACTTTATCTAAGTCCTGCAGTGTTCTATTAATATAATATTTATTAAGACTACTATATTAAAATTCTTATCTCTATAGAAGAAGCGCAATTATTTATAATTATAGTAGAAATAGAAAGTATTAATTCGGAAGCTTTAATAAAGCAAACCGAACCGCTAATAAATCATATTATATATTTTTTATCGGAACTAATAATAATAGCTTATATTAAAGACTATTTGGAAATGTTCAGATAGATAGACTGGAATTAGATATTAATAGATAATTAATACTATTTATAATAGATTTTATATTTAATATATTATTTTTGAAAGAGATATCGGAAGGTAAGTAGATATATTAATAGTACTATAATAATTTTATTATATAACTTTAAAAGCTTTAAGAAAATCAAAGTTTAATAGTATTAGTAGTATTAAAATATCGCCAAAGCTGGCCAAAATTACAAACTTATAATATATTAAAGCAAACTGTTGCTTATTTATTATAAATTTTATAATATATTTATTAATTTGCTTTGCAATAATATCTCTTATTTTTCAGTATATAAATTTATAATAATCTGGACTGCAGTCTTCAAACTGTAGGATTCAAGTTCTTATTTAACTATTAGTTAAATCTGTAGGATTCTAATTCTAAATTAATAATTATTTTAGAGAACCCTGGCGATAATAAAAGCAATAATATAACTAATTCTAGCTATTATATATTATTAGAAAAGACTCAACTATCTTCTTGTTTAAAACGTATTGATAAGCTAGAATTTGACCTTAAGAGATTGTCTTTATATATAAAGATAAGTATAATTAGAATGAATGTTTAAATAATATTAAAATCTGGCAAGCATTAAGCAATACTATTAATTAAATTTTTTTCTATATAATTCAGAATAGAATTTGTGAGTATAAAAAACTAAAGCAATTATAGTATTCCGATTATTTTAATTATATTAATAACTGTCTGTAGAAGAAAGCGCAATTTATTAGGCCCTTTATTAGTTAAAAATTCTTAGAATATCGACTACCTGTTATCCAGAAACCTCTAATATCTATCTTATAACTTATAATCTTAATAGTCTACAGCATAATCTAGTATATATCAAGATAAGTAATACTAGAACAGGTAAGATTAAGATTCAAATCGCTTCTAGCACTTTAAGTTATCAAAGCTGTACTATTAAGACAGGAACCACATTTGAACCAGAGAATAACGGAGTATAGCAAATAATTGACTGGATGATATACCTAATCTGGTTTATATTAAGACAAACCAAATAGGGATAAATAAAATTAAGGTTCATATTGCCTTTGGTGCTTTAAGTTATCAGAGCTGTATTCTTAAAATAAAAACCATATTTGAACCAGAGAATAACAAAATATAACAAATAATTAAGTATAATAGGAATAGTATATCTGGTTTGGTTTATATTAAGACAAACAGTACTAAAATAGTAACAGCTGAGATTAATATTAGTACAGATTTAATTAAAAATATTATCTTTTTTATTATTAGAATTTAATTGATCTGTAATAAATCTTTGAGTTTTTATATTTATAGAATTAGCATATTTAATATATATAGATTGTTTTTATCTTATCTGGTATATCTATCGCGTGATAATAGATAAAAAATTATAAAATACTAAAACTTATTTGGGCGTTTCTTAGTCTTAAAAAATACAGATTGCAAGTTTGTATAATTTTTGTAATAAGCTGCGTTCTATTACTATATATAAAGTATTAAAATCAATCTAAATCTATTTTCTTATATTATAGAGAATGAGATATATATCATCCAGTCGGACCCGCCGTATAGAATCTATTTTACAGTTTAATAGATTATTTCGGCAGTATATTCTGGAGAGAACTGCAAATATTATATAAAATCAGATTCTACAACTTCAGTAATATTTTTCTGTTCAGAATTATATCTAGTTAAAGAATAGTATATATAAGTCTGGAGTAGTAATTATAAATCTACTTCTTTTTATAAATACAAACAGAAGGACCACTACTTTATCTGTTAATAAAAAATAAAAAAGTAGGATTATCTTCGGTAAAAATAATAAGAATAAAAGCTTAATAATATTAATATAAACATATTTTCTAAGGTAATATTTCAAGACTTCTGGATCTTTTATTTTATATACTCAGCAGTATTGTCACCTAAAGTTAATAGTATAAAATTATTTATACTTTCTTATGCATTAATATGCTTTAGTATATATTTAAAAAAGGATAGTTAACAGGCTAAAAAGGCTTGTTAGCAATAAAATAAAAACAGATTATTCGCCACTACTAATAGCTTTCTGTGAATAAAAGCTGAGAGGATTTAAAGAAGTGCTTAGATTATATGCACACGCTTCGGCGCACTACTGAAAATTCTAGAGAATATATAATTATAATACATACTGTAAATTACTGTTGTAATTTTAAAGCTAAAACCAAAGAACATCAGACTCTGCCAAGAGATCATGCTTATGCCTAGATCTTATTTGGACTAGTGCTGATGGTTTAGGACTGAGAGAACACAATTCAAAAGATAAGGATGGAGGGTGGTTGTGCAAGGCACTTTAGACGAGTACTGCGGTTCCCAGACAATTTTGTTGTTTGTCAGTGGAATTGACTTATTACAAGGACTTATTGCTTCGCAGGGTGAAGTATAGATTACAGTTCTACAAGACAAGTTCGGTAAGGAAGGGATTAGTCTTCATTAGAATCTGAAACACTATTAAGCTATTAAGCTTGACTGGATAATCGAGCAACATCAGGCTATATTGGTAGATAAAACATGCTTAGTAGATAAAACATGCTTAGTAAAGCCCACTCATCCTCATACGCCGTGCGCCTGTTCGCCTGGGCAATATCACATGCAAATTGCTCTGCCTTCCGTGCAATCATTTCAACTCAACAGAGGATTGGCTACTCTGAATGTCTGATTTCAGTCTTTTATTCCCCTTCTTCTTGAAGATATCCTCTCTGTTCGGCAGTAATTTGGTTTCAGGACTGTCAATGACACGAAGGATATCGCACAACTGGGCAAAAGTTTCCGATAAGATTTTGTTACGAAGAGACCAGTCGAGAATATCAGTGCGGAACTGGGAGATGGGGTCTGCTTGCTGTCTTAGTATAGGATCATATGTATCTGACTTCGAAGGAGGCTTACCTCGACTGGACTGGGGAGGTATTGGAGATGGATCGGAGGAAGAAGGATTGGTAGAAGCAGAGGAGGGGCTTGAGGCTTGTTCTTCGGCGGCCGTTTCGTCCAAAGCTGCTTCATTAGAAATTTTGTGGGAGGGCATGTTATCGGAGATTGATTCGTCCGAGCGCATTTTCTCAGAAGACATATTGTCAGAGGACATCTTATCAGAGGACTCTTTCTCAACAGAATCTTTGTAGCAGAGCAGTCTTTGGGCGGGCTTCCTGGTGGGTGGTTGCTTCTTGCGGTACTGCTCACGAGAGAATTGGCCCTTGGGGTGGTTCTTGGGGCGCTGATTCTTGGGTTGTTGATTCCTGGGGTGCTGATGTTCAGATTTTGGTGTTCTGGCAGAGAAGGTTGTGTTTGCGACGGGGTGTACGTGAACTGACAGGTTGTGGAAATGCTGAATGTTGACAGTCACCTGATTCACACGTGTAACATTCACAGGCGGCTCGCGACTCCTTGAGTAAGTGGAAGAGGCAGGGGCGTAGCTTTGGCGGTGGGGCGGCGGCCTACCTGAGCAAGGTCTATTTAACGGAGGTTCTTCGTACCGCTGTTTATTGTGAGGTGGGCCGTCGAAGTCTTTGCCATCAAGATCGTCGTCATCGAATTCGTCGTCATCGAAGGAAGGTTGATCTGAGTATTGATCATTCGAGGGTGGCTCATCGAAGGACCGATCATCGAAGGGTGGCTCTTCTGAGTACTGATACTCGAAAGATGGCTCATCGAAGTATCGGTCATCAGGATACGGCTCATGACAGTACTGATCTCCAGAGGGCGGTCGATCATAGTACTCTTCTTCATAAGATGGGTGGTAGTTGGTTGGATCATAAGCTGGCCCTTCATAGTATGAGTCATCACAGTCTGGCTCATCGTAGTGCTCGTCATCAGAATATGGCCCGTCATAGTAAGGATCACTGTAATCTGGCTCATTATAGTACGGGTCGCTGCAATCTGGCTCATCGTGGTACTCGTCATCATAACACGGCTCGTCGTAGTAGTCATCGAAGGGCTCTTCGTCGTAATACATCCTGTCACGGACTACTCAGCCCTGCTGAGTATATGTATCACTTGCTTGAGGTGTTAGAGATATATAAGCTCCCATGACTGAACAGGCAGAGCGAGAGGACTTGATTTAACTACGAATGAGCGGCTAGACCCAACTTCTCGACACAAACGGCAGTAGCGATGCTTTTCATTGGCATTGATAACGCCTTTCTTCAGATCAGGTGACTTGATCTATGAATAAAATTGACAGCGTAGTATAGCTTGTATGGGTAAAGTCTGGGATGTTTTCCAGACTTGGGTTATCTGTGTGGAAGAAATAATGAAATCTTGATGGATTTACTGGCTTAAAGAAGAAAGTTTGATGCCTTGAGATTCTTAGAATTAGTAAGAAAAAAAAAATCTATATAAATTTATAATATTTATATATTAATAATCCTATTTAAAATTATATAATCTTACTAAAGCGAGATGTTATATATATACGCCGATACACCTCCGCAGCAAATTATCTATAAAATCTTCTTTTTTTTAAATAAAATAATATTTTATTTTTTTAATATTTTTAAATAAATAAATATATACGACCGATAGGCTGTCCAGCTGATACGGTTATTAAAACCGTTTAGCTGATATATCTAATAAAATAATTTAATTAATATTAATATTAACTATATTTCTATAATCTACAGACTGTAATACTATTAATAAGTTTAATATTATTAAAAATAATATATTCAGTCGATTAATTAAATACTTAAATTTAATATTATTAAATAGCTTAGTAAATAAGTTTATAAGATTTTCCGAAGATTTAATATATTTAAAATATAAATCTCTATATTAGATAGCCTTACAAATCTAATAATATATAATATTAATATATTTAGTTCGTCGGTAAAATTAGTTATTTTAAATAAATATAATAATATTTTTATTATTAATATATATTATTATTAAATATATATTTTTAAAATTTATATTTTTCAGTATATAAATAATTTAACAGGCTTTCTTACTTACTGTATATAGTACTATATATTCGGTTTTATATATAAATATTATAATATAATTTTACAGACGTAAAGTTTATAAAATTAGATTATTTATTTATATAAAAATATATCTAAAAGTTAACTAATATATATTAAGACAGCCGGTATAGTCGGTATTAATATAACCGATTATTATATTAAATTAATTATAAAAATTATTATTAAAATATATTATATACTAAATTTTATATTCAGCAGTTCTATATAAGTATCGGTTTAAAAAAAAAGACTATTTATATATTATTTAATCAGATTATTTATATATTAAAAAAGTTTTCTAATAGTATACGCAATATCGGAATATATTTATATTATTAAATATATTATACTTTTAATATCTGACTGATAGTTTTTAATATTTTTTTTAAAGATTTATTTTAGACTTTTAATAAATTTAATATTTTTATTAAAAAAATACTTTACAAATCTTCTTACTTACTAGATCTACTATTTTAATAACATACTAAAAAAATATATTTTATATAAAATAAATATTATTTTTATTTTATTTAATTTTTATACTAAAATATTATACAGTATTGCTGAAGTCGGTAATAATAAAGTATTTTAAAAAATTTTAATATATAATATTAATAAGATTTTCGGTTGGAGCAGCAATCTGAATATTATTAATATATAAAATTATTAATTCTCTATATTTTCTAATAAAAAAATATTTATTAATTTAAAATACTATTATTTTAATACTAATAGCCGCAGTAAAGAACTTATAATACTAATCTTTAACAGATTGCTTTAATTTATATATAAATAAAAACAGCTTGTAGATTTTAATACTTCTATTTTTAAAACTAATTAATTAAATTATATAGATCTTTTTATTATTACGAAATTTACTGTAAAAAAAAGATTTATTTAATATCTTTCTATTTATAAATATAATTAAATATTATTATAATAATAAAGAATATTCTTACCGTTGCTGTTTTTACAGTAGAAATAAATATAAAATTCTAATTAATATTATAAATTTATAAAAAATCTTAAATAATATAATAAGTTTTAAATCTACAGATTTTATTATTTATATTAAGTTTAATTTTATATATTTATCGGTCTGATATAGTCTTACGGTTTATAAATAATTTAATAAATTTTCAGATTTTTTATTTTTATAATATTAAAATTTTTTTAATTATTATAATATATTAGTAAAATATTTTAAATAATTTTATTATTTATTTATATATTACTAGTTCGATGATATAATTATAGTTACTGTTTTTTTTAACTGTTCCGGTTATAAAAATCTATTTAATAAAATAAAAAGTTCGAAGTTTCTTTTATTTAAAAAGATTTTTAATAAGTAATATTAATATATCGCTATATTCCAGCCTAAAATTATCGATATAAATAAAAAATATTAGCAAACCGATATTTTCAGTCGGTTAATATTAATACTTTAGTATTATTAATATTTAAAAATATTTCTAAATAATTTTTTTATTACTGACTTTATTATCGGAGTCGTCTGAGATATATTTATATAGATTTTTAATTAATAAAATTACCGATACTAGTATCTAATAATAATTATAATTATTATTAAAAAAATTATATATTTTTAGATTACTTTTTTTATTAAAGCAGACGTTTCTAATAGTAATAATTTTATTATTTTTAATATTTAAGATTTTATATTATTTTACCAGACTGATGTAGCCAAGCAGTCGAATAGTTTAGCTATAAGATTAAATTTTTAAAATTTTATTCCGATTTCTGACTTTTTTTAGAATTATTATAATATTATAATAGTTAAATATTTATAAATTTAATAAATTTAAATATATTCTATTATATGCTTTCTATACAGTAACTGTTTTATTATAAATTAATAATAAGTTTTTAAAAAATATAACTTTTTTTATAATTTTTTTATAAGCTTTTATTAAGGTCTTAATTACAAAAAACTATATATATATAAATTAAAATTATAAGATTAATTTATTCGATTAAAATATTTTAACTATAAATATATAAAACTGTAAACTTCTATTTAAAATCTTTTCTATATATTTAAATAAAAATATTTTTATTTTAAAATTCCGGTGTATTATTCGAATATAATAATTTAATTTTAAAAAATATATAGTCTACTTTTTTAATAAACAGCTTTAATTTAAATATTATATTTTTTCTGATTTTAAGCAGACGGATGTCGACCCAGCTGTTATATATATTAATAAAGAATATTTAATATTAAATACTGGATTTTTTACTTAAAAATATATTAATATATCTACTACTAATATCGAAAAATATATACTAACTATATTATTATAATAGAGTTATTTAAATATATTTCTAATAGATTAAAATATTAGCTAACTGATATATTTAATAAATATATTTTAAAATAGTAAGATTTTTAATATTTATTCTGTCTATTATTTTTAATAATTTAATATAATTAGTAACGGAGAGATGGGCAAGACGACAGTATTAAATAAAAAGATTAATATAAATTTTATTTATATTAAAAATATATTTCTAATATTTTTTATTAATATAATAAAAATAATAATTTACAGTTTATATATTTAATTTAATTAATAGTAAGATGATTACTGACTCGGCTGTATACTTTACTAAAGTAAGATAATTTACTAAAATAAAAAAATTAATAATATTATTAACAGCGATCTTAATATTAATCGATTTATAACTAATATAAAAAATATACTAATTTTTAATAATATTTTTATAATTAATAATCTTTTTATCTAAGGCCTTAAAAATTATTATTTTATTTAAAAAAAATAGTAAGATCGAACTTTGCAAAATATATAATATTAAATAAATTAATTTTAATATTAGAAATATAAAATATATTTATTAATTTAACAGTTCGAAATTTATTTTAATTATATATTAATTTTAACTTTATATTTCCGGTACTAATAAAATATATAATCTCGCCAGTAGCAGTTTTAATTTTATATTTATATAATTTTACAGTATCAGATAGAAAGTAATTTTTATTTTTAATAAAATATTTAATAAAATTAAAATTAATTATTCAGTCATCTACATACCCAAAATAAACTATAGTAATATTATAATTAATAAAATTAGTTTTTTTATTACTTATTACTATAAATATTAACGAAATAGAAGAATATTTATTTTTAATAGTATTTATTTTAATATTTTTTAATATTTTAAATAACTTTAATTTTAAATATAATCTCTAATAGTTAGACTTTTTATAGCTGACTTTTTTTGCAGTAATTATATATTCAGTTCTTTCAAATTTTCTATAAAATTCTTTTTTTAAAATTATTTTTCTTCGACTGATTATTCTTATTCTATTAGTTCTTAGTTTTAGACTTTTTATTTTTAGATGTTTTAATAAAATTAGCGTTGCCTGAATTAAATTAAATATATATCTTTTTTTATATAAAAATCTAAGTAATCTGATCTTATATAATGCTTTTTTTAATATATTAAGAGTTAAAATAGAAAGTTAAAAAGATAGATTATTATTTTTTAAAATTATAAAAAAAATTAGATTTATATACTATTACCGAACTTCTTATTCTTAGTAAGATTATATTAGAACTTATCTAATATTCTAAATATTTTTATAATATATTTATTAATATCTTTACAGTTGTTATACTGCAAGAATATAGTAGTTTATAATTTTTTAAAAAATTATACATCCGAAATAATATTAAAATATTTTTTTAATTTATTTTAAACTTTCTTCGCGCTGCTGAATTTAATAATATTATAGTAAATTTTCTAAATTAATACAGTATAAATAGCTTCTATAATCTTTTTATTTTTAGTTTTTTATATAAATAATTATTTTTTATATTAATTAACAGTTTTTTTATAGACTGTAAGTCTTATATCGGAAGTATTACCGATAGACTTTAAAATATTTTAAATAATATATAAAAATCCAGTTATTACTGAAGCTGATTCGGCTTTATTTTTTTATAATATTAATATTAAAAAAACAGATTATTTATAAATATCTGAAACGGTTTTTTAAAAATCTTATAAATAAAAATATATTTATAATATTTTATACTAGATTTAATAATTATCCGCATCTATTAGAACCGGGAGTTTGGTAATATTAATAATCTATTAGACTATTACTAATTAGTAGATATATTTTTTTAATTATATATTTTATTAATTAATTAAGATATTCAATATAAATTAGTATTTTTTAATAAATAATTTAGTTGATGGAGAGGTCTTCTTAGTACTGAATATTAAAAAATATAAAAAAATAATAAAAAATAATTAATTTAAGACTTTAAACTTAAGCCGGGCTTATAATCTGTAGAAGAAATAATAAAATCTTAATAGATTTACTAGTTTAAAGAAAAAAGTTTAATATCTTAAGATTCTTAGAATTAGTAAGAAAGAAAGAAATCTACACAAGTTCGTAATATTTATATATTAATAGTCCTGTTTGAAATCATGTGACCTCACTAAAGCGAGGCGTTACACGCACACGCTGATAATCTGCATCGGTACGTGTTCTTGAACATCATACATATATTCTTAGCATAAGATATCCTCGTACGGACTCGAAAATAGTATAGACTACATACAGAAGTATCCTAGCATAGATTCTCACTTACGAGTAGAGCATAGGACGCACCTGATTTGCAAAAATCATAAATACTAACAGAGAGTACATGGACTCCATACGTCGTATCGCTTGTCCATCTTGCTTATGCCGCGCTAAGCTATCGACTGTAGATAGTTGTGTATCAAGCGTATAGTGACTAAGCTAAGACATATCCATGCACAAATTGGTTGAGCCGATCCACGGTGACCATGTGACATACCAGCCCAGGGAGAGAGCGGCAGCGGCAGCAGCGCGGCGGCGCTTTGCGGAAACCATGGCGGAAAAACAGCGGATTTCCCCACGCCTCGGTTGTTGGTTTTCCTCCAACCCCTCCTTCCTCATTCGAATCCACTTGCTCACATCCCATGACTGCAATGTCTCCACCTCAGCCTTGGATGCTTCGACCGTGTGGTACATCTCCGAATTGATCCTCTGATGCAATCAGTCCGGAAAAATGGCCGACCGACAGAATCCGGCCAAAGTCCTGCGGCCATCCAGGTACCAGGCTAATGGCATAAGATAGAAGAATAAACGTACCTCTTGCCTCAATCTATTCCTGTCTTTTTTTGTTGCAAACCAAGCACTCATCATGGCATCTGCAGTATTACAGTCTGTGGTGCCAACGCCAACTCCCTCACCTCCAACCAGTCTGACTCCCGTGAGCGTTGCTTCGCCAGCCACCTCTGTCAATGAGCTAGGTAGCTTGGAAGAGGAATTCGACACAATAAACCATCTACTTCAGACAAGAGCACAGGGACGACTTGGTCATGAGCCTATTGTCGCCTATCCGTCATCTGGCACCAACTACGTCTATTATAGCCCCCAACAGGTGAACCGCACGTTAACCCAAAAATAGCATCTTAATCGCTAACACCAGCTTCATTAGCTTAATACCTTTGTCGAAGCAGCAGCAGTTCATTATGCCAGGTCCATTCCCCAGCGACGTTCGTCCGAAGACCCGGTTCAGGTGGTCGGCTTGTTGGGCCCCTCGGATTTTGAGTACTTGATTACATTGCTCGCTCTTTCAAGACTAGGACATACGGTGCTCCTGCTATCCACTCGCATTGCCGAAGATGCCTACGTCAGCCTCGGCGAAAACACTAAGGCCTCATATCTTGTCGCCCACACCACCTTCCTCGCCATGGGTGATAAAGTGGCACAAAGAACTGGCATCAGCCTTCAGCCATTACTGAGCCGTGTGGACTATGACAACACTACCACAGGTACAGTGGCGCTGCCATCAGCTCAACTGAATGGGAAAATTGAGAATAAGCATGTTTGTTGGATCATCCACTCCAGTGGCTCAACAGGACACCCCAAACCCATATACCAGACGCATGCCGGTGCTCTCAAGAACTACGCCAATAACTTCGGCTTGTGCGGGTTCATCACCCTGCCCCTATTCCACGCTCATGGAATTAGTTGCTTGTTCCGCGCAGTCCACTCACAGAAGCTCATATATCTTTACAACGCCGAGCTTCCCTTGACCGCCACTCATCTTCTCACAACCCTCCAAGAGCACCAAGAAATCCAAGTTCTTTACGCCGTCCCATACGCTCTGAAGCTGTTGTCAGAGTCACCTGAGGGTCTTCAGGTGATGTCTCGGTTAGAACTGGTGATGTTTGGCGGTTCGGCTTGTCCGAAGCCTATCGGTGACAAGCTGGTACAGAATGGAGTCCGCCTTGTGTCCCATTACGGTACCACCGAGACGGGCCAGTTGATGACCTCCTTCCGCGAACGTGATGACCTGGACTGGGACTTTGTCCGACCTGGTCCAAGCCTACTGCCATATGTTCGTTGGGAGGAGCAGATGCCTGGCATTTACGAACTTTGTGTCCTGGAAGGCTGGCCGTCCAAAGTAGCCAGCAACCGACCGGACAATTCATATGCTACGAAAGACCTCTTCGAGAAACATCCAACAACTCCTAACGCCTGGAGGTACTACGCCCGTCTGGACGACACACTGGTGTTGGAAAATGGCGAAAAGGCCAATCCCCTTGTGATCGAGGGTGTTGCCCGCAACGACCCCAACGTAGCCGAGGCCATTGCGTTCGGAGCAAATAAGCCTCGTCTGGGTCTATTCTTGATACCCGCGGAAAGTTCTCCTTGTAAAACCGCAGAGGAGCTCATCGAGGCCGTGTACCCTGCCATTGAGCGGTGCAATGCAGAGTCCCCGGCCTACGCCTACATCTCGCGGGACATGGTCAAGGTGCTGCCACCGGACGCAGAATTTCGAAAAACGGACAAGGGCACAGTCATTCGCTCAGCCTTTTACCGAGACTATCAAGATCAGATCGACGAAATTTACGATACTGAGAATGCCACAGGGGACCAGGTTCTTGAAGGGGCCGACCTTCTCGGATTTCTTCGGGAGCAGCTACTCGCAGTCGCACCGTCTATCGATTCTTCCGTACTTGAGGATCAAACCGACTTGTTCAGCTTGGGCGTAGACAGTCTGCAGTCCATCCGACTACGCAGCGCTATCATGAGAATGCTCGATCTTAGGCAACAGAAGTTATCTCAAAACTTTGTATTCGAGAATCCTTCCCTGAAGGCCATGGCCGATGAAATCACTCGTTTGCGTCTGGGCCAAGAGCTCAAGGCTGAGATTCCAGTTGAAGCACGCATGCAAAGCTTAATCGAGAAATACAGTACTGACTTCAAGGTTCACATTCCTGTTCCGCGGGAAGACGAGGCCGAACATGTTGTTGTGACGGGGGCCACAGGCTCGCTGGGCGCGCATGTCATTGCTCAGCTAGCCGAACGCGAGAATGTCCACACTATCTACTGCTTAGTCCGTGCCGAATCTCGCTACTCGGCCCTAAAGCGAGTTCGTCAGTCACTACGAACGCGGGGACTGTCTCTTACTCAAGCTCATGCCGCTGATCACAAGATAGTCGTTCTGCCTTCAAACCTCTCAGACCCAACTCTAGGTCTTGATGGAGCGACTTATGAGCAGTTGGTGCAATCCGTAACGGCTGTCATGCACTGCGCATGGTCTGTCAATTTCAACTGGTCCCTGGAAAGCTTTGAGGCGAGCTGCATAGCAGGCACTCGGCACTTATTGGATCTCTGCCTTAATGTGCGCAGCCCCAAACCGGCGCGCTTCTCATTCTGCTCATCCGTAAGCACTGTGGCCCGAACTCCGGGCAATTGGGTTCCAGAAGCCCTGCCCGAATCGCTCTCTTACGCACAGGGAATGGGTTACGCTCAGTCTAAGCTCGTCACAGAGCATATCGTCAACCGTGCAGCTCAGTCAACGGGGATGACGGCTCGCGTTTTGCGATCGGGGCAAATCATCGCGGACTCTGTTCATGGCATCTGGAATGCCACGGAAGCCATCCCCTTGATCTTCCAAAGTGCGGAAACAATCGGAGCTCTCCCACAATTGGATGATATTCTCTCGTGGACACCCGTGGATGTATTGGCAGCAAGTGTTATTGACTTGACTCTTGCGCCGGTGGCAGGTGATGTACTCAATGTCACTAATCCGAATCTCAATCACTGGGGGCTAGACCTCCTTCCACTCCTCCGCCAGGCTGGTTTGAAGTTTGAAACACTGTCTCCCCGCGACTGGGTCCATCGTCTTCGGCAATCAAATCCAGATCCCAGCATCAATCCACCTATCAAGTTGGTGGAGTTCTTCGCCAGCAAGTACGACAAGGAGAAGCCTAGCCGGGTTCTTCTCTACGACACCAAGAGAGCTCAAGCGGCTGCTCCGGCGTTGCGTCAGGCCAGAGGGCTTACCGTCGAGCTAGTCGATCGATTTCTGTCATATTTCCGCACCCAATGGGCGAAGGCGAGTCCAGAAACACCCCGGGAGGTTGTTGTGCTGACTGGTCCTTGCGGCTGCGGCAAGAGCACTGCCGCCCAGGCTGTGGCGCAACGGTTCAATATCCCCGTTATCGAGGGCGACGACCTGCATTCCCCAGCGGCGCGTGCCAAGATGGCAAACGGGACTCCTCTAGAGGACCAGGATCGGTGGAATTGGTTAGCACATATTCGCGGTGCAGTCATGGATCGGTTGCAGCACTCGACCGCGCCCGCCGTGGCAGTGACCTGTTCTGCATTGCGCACGGCTTACCGCGATGAGCTGCGACGCCTTTCGGAATTGTTTGATTTCCCTGTCAATGTTACATTCGTGCTTCTTTCGATCCGTGACGGGGAGCAACTCAAGGAGCGAGTAGCCGCTCGTTCGGAGGTAGAAGCACACTACATGCGAGCTACAATGGTGGACTCTCAGCTTAACACATTGGAGAGCCCGGGTCCATCAGAAAGCGATGTGATTGTCCAAGACTCGAGTCGCTCGAAGGAGAAGATGATTGAGGATGTTGAGAAGACTGTTGAGGGAATTCTTTCTGCATAAACTCTGGTTAGAAATAGAGCTACGCATATACAATGTTCAAATCTTAAACCACGTCTATACACTGGTGTACATGAAAATGATCCTTCTGTTAGCGCAGCATTCTTCATCTATGAGAAAGTTGATGATTGACATCTACTCACTTAAGAACCGCCAGCTCCTCTCGAACATTTAGACAAGAAACCCCCGGCAGCAAATCCTCCCTGAATCGAACCGGGTTTTCAAAGACCATGACCACGTCCAATCCCCCAAACTGGAAATATGAGATCTCATCTCCTTTCCTCACCCATTGGCCCTCATGCACGGTCATCACCACCGACGAGATCTGAGCCATCCCAATCAGTCCCACCGCCACCCGACCAAAATCTTCTGTTTGAATGACAATCACCCCACGCGTCTGACACTATTGACAGCCCGCATTGTCTTGTCCGGGGCATCCAGGATCTGCGGGCCCCTACACGGCATCCTGTCGCGTCTCACCTCCTCCTTGGCATCCCTCCGCAGTCCGCGATCCGGCTGCAGGCCCCGCCCTTCCTTCTTCTTCGCGATCTGCAAATACACCTGATCCTGAATGTTCCTCACTTGCACAATCCTCCCGGAGACGGGGGTACGCTGTCGATGATATTCCGCTGGCCTGAGACAAGCATGCACAAAGCCGCCGCCGCCGACCACCTCCCTTGCCCTGGAGATCCCCTGCAACAACCGATCAATCAGCCACACCACCGACTTACAATTCACCATTGCTGTCGCCATCATCGTCGGGGAAACCACCACCTCCCCGGCCCTATTGAGGGTCGACCGCCCCTCGACCACCGCTTCCGCCGCACACACCACAACCGCCTCATCCCCGGGCGCCGCCACCGGCCGTACCGCATCCGCCTCCTTCCACCGCCGCCCAAATCAATGATCAAACTTAAACGACCGCCACCCGCCCGCGGGCTTCCCCCCCCTCTTTATTTTAGTGCTCATTCAGATAGAAGGTATACAGCGAGGCCGCCGACTCCCGGGAGTAGAGGAACTGGCCCTGCTGGCGGGCAAAGCAGACGAGTCAGTAGCTGAGCCAGGTGCGGTCGGCGTGGGAGGTGGTAGGCTGGAAGGGGGTCTGCCACCCGCGCAGCGCGGGCTAATCGATCACCCAGTAAAAGACGACACTCTTATCCAAGAGCTCGTCGCCTGTGGTGGTCACGCGCGGCACCCACCGGAGGAGTGCGTCGGCGAAACAGAGGAAATCGTCGAGGGAGCGGATGCCCTCGCGCGCCATCTCGTGGGCGCCGCCGTTGCGCGGGTACAGCGCGGTGTTTATGGCTGTGTGGAAGGCGGTCGTGCGGTCCGGGTCGCGGTGGATGTAGTCCCGGAGGTCGCGGATTAGGAGCTCGACTGGGTGGTAGGTTATTGTTGCTGTGTTGGTCATTTTGTTTGAGGGGTATATTGTTAAGAATGATGGATGGGAATGGTCGGTCGACAGGAAATCGGACCAAGGGAGATTTGGATCAACAGATTTTGGAAAAAGAAAAAGACTGGCAGGATTTTATGCACTAGATAGTACATCAGACATAAAATCTCTCTCAGCAGATGTACTGTACTCAACTCTGTCGCTATCTATGATTCATGTTGTTGTATCTCGAGCTCGAGCTCGGGACCTAGGGCCAGTATATTTTTCAATTCACATGTGAGTTCCACCCTAGGCCAAGCGCGCCTTTTTCCCCCTCAAAGCATGTATTAGAGTGGGTCCTACTTTGTTTGGATGGGGGCAGGAATTCTAGAAAACTATAATTGTGACGTCCCAGGTTTGCTAACCGAAGGAGCCGAGATATTGTTCGCACTGCGGGTTGCTCCAGGAGACTCGTGATACTGTGAACTGTTTTTTCTGTGGAATGTGCAATAATCAGCATACTATGACTTGCCTACGGGACTGATAAGCCGTGCATGCGATGAAGCAGGTTGGCGAAGGTGCCAGTATTCAGTCGTGTCTCACACCTAATTCCAACAAGTACCCATTCGAAGCTTCTGATGTCGTTCTATCGCGCCCATGATGTATTCTAGTTCGAGGTAGTCGTACATGTCGATGGCAGCAAATCACAAATACTGCAACTCTCACATGGGGCGAATAACCAAAACTCCAGACGGAAGACGAAGATTGATCTCCCGATGCGATGTTGTCGGACGGAACACAGGGAGCGCAAGAGACAAGAGCCTGAAAGGTTCAGCAGCATTCTTGATGCTGCAACTGAGGTATCATGTACACTATCACCTCACTGTTCTACATGCAGGGGCTCTTCGTGCTACAGCGCTCGAACTCCAGAGATCGAATTGCACAATAATCAATGCGCAGTGCTTTGGAACCCACGGATCACATGTGGCAGTGGGGCATTAGACTTCGCAGTTCTTTCGTCGAGATGACTCGAGTGATCCATGCACTGGGCCTTCTTCTTCGAAAACCACACCTAGTCAGTAACAAGCAATGGCTCCTAACCTCCGAATCGACGGATCACCTTTCCGTAGCTTGTCAGAAGTGGTGATACTCAAAGTGATCAATCGCGAACGAGACCTTGAAGGTGGGCAACATGGAAGGAATTGTCTGCGATCTGCATACTGCTCTACATCATCGGAGTTCCTGTCCATTGAACTAGCAAAGATATCATCTCCATGCGTGTGATTTGGTTTCAGGGCTGAGGATCTAGCACAATCCTATGAGCTATTGAGTGTTCAACAGCTCTTCTTCGTGAATTTCTTCCGTCTATCAATTCTGTTTTGCCGTTGAACCATGGCTGTCTCAATCCTTGACAACATGACCAGAGTGCTCACCTGGGCTGCTTCAATATGGCTCTTCCGGCAATACCATAAAGCTCCTGAGTATTTCGTCGTCTCCTGTGGAGCCATGGTTTGCTTGTGGGTCGTGTTCAAGAGCCTCGTCATCAGTCTTCGAACCTTACACAGACGACACATGATTCGATTTTCTATTAAGAGTCAGGTTCATCTGGTTCATTCTTTGGCAGCTCGCAAGAGTACTTGGTTTCGGTTTTCTCCTAGCCACCGACGCTGCTGTAATCAGGAAATTGTGAGTCATCTATTCAGTCTAACTATGTATTAAACCGCTGACGCGAGTTTTAGAACAATGCACACCTTTACCAACAAACAAGTGGATGCCCTTGTTACCTATGCTTTCCACACCCGCCCTGGGACACCCGCCCTGGGACACTGGATTTTTTTTGTTCCTTGGATTCTGTGTACAAGACTCTTATTTTTGGAGAAGGAGGCTCGATACTGAGGGAATAGAAAACTATCCAGGATGCGCTGACTCAGCTACGGTGCAGCCCGCGACTCAATCTGACACGGTCGCAACTGGCCGAAATGCGAGAAAAAGATGAGGCGCAATACATTAACCAACATTCGTTAACCTAACGTGGTGGTACCTGGACGCTGACTCCTCGGTCCCTGAGTCCCTGATCTCCGGTACGAGGCAAATAACTAAAAATGTATCATCAATCCAGCTGAGTATGAAGTTTGACTTACTTGCCTGATACTGCCTGCCATCTCCTCATCCCTGCCTCCCACTCCTCCCGTTGACCCGTTCACCTCCACAAAGACGCTTACCGGTCTCGATGGTCGAGCCAGATACGACCCAGTAGTCAAAGCGCTATCCGAGCTCATCGGACCCTGAGGTGCACAGTCTGTCATAGAAAGGGTACAGAATCTTCAAAGAAGGATTTAGTCTCTATCCCAGCACCTATAATTCCTTTTCAAGCTTCTTCCCGGCGGAGATGAATGCCGTCTGGACATGTTCTACCGCACGGTCCGCAGAATATTACTACTCAACTGCAAACAACCTTCTGCTCGCGGTGGTCAAGAAAAGAAAGAGATGAAACTCGTTTCTTGATTTTGACGGATTGTATACCTATCATAAGCGGCTTCCAGCCTGATGCTATCTGGCTTTCTTTCTTTCTTCCTGAGTTTATACCGCAACACAGTCCTTGACCATATTCTCCACCTGGGTGTTCTTCTCGCGAAAGACTGGCCCGAGGGCCTCGATGGTCTTGTCCGAGATATCGCGCCTCGCGGCGGCCATGGTCTCATATTCGTCGGCGGAGCGCTGCCCGACCAGCAGGAGGGTGCTCAGAATGGTCATGACGCTGTTGTCGGGGTCCTCGACGATCTCATAGATGCTGTCGCCGATGAGGGCGGCGTCGCCGACGACGGCGACGATCTCGGCGACGTCGGCCAGGGTGTCGCTGACGGCGCCGAGCTCGCCTAGGAAGGGGACGACCAGGAAGATGGCGCCCAGAATCTCCTCGATCATCTCGCGGTGCTCCCAGGCCTTCTCCTCCTTGCCGATGGTGACGACTTCCTGCATGGAGCTGACGGCCTGGAGGAGCAGGACGACGGCCAGCGAGACGCTCTGCACGATATCGTCACTGAAGCCCGGCCACGCGCCGACGAGCGTCTGCAGCTGCGCGGCCAGGATGTTCTGCCGCAGCCCGTCCAGGTGGGGCAGGGCCTGCGCGACGACCGTGCGCGGGTCGGTGATGTTCACCTGCGCCGCCTTTCGGGGCACCCCGTAGAAGTTCTCCGTCCACGCGACACAGTCCGGGTTCAGGTGGCCCACGCAGATGTTGTATCGGTCGTGCGTGCCGTCGTACCGCACCCAGTCCGGTTGGATGCCGTAGTCGGCCAGCAGCCACGCCTCGAACAGGGTGATGTTGCGCACCTCAAAGTAGACGTTGTACGACTGGTGCCCGTCCGTGGCGGCGGTGTTGGGGCATTGCGCCGCCGTCCCGTTCTTGCCCTCGACTTCGATGATGCAGTCGAAGTAGGCGAGGCCCGGGCCCGTAGGGTCCCATTCCATCGCGCTGGCCAGGGAGGTCGTGATATTGTTCTCGACGTACCGCTTGTAGTACTTCAGGGTCTCGTTGTAGTCGTTGTGGGCCAGGATATCCGTGTAGTTGGTGACCACCACGTCAATCATATTGTAGAGCACATCGAGCATGTAGTACGGGATGCATTCGTCCGCCATGTTGGCCGACTGGACGTTGAGGTCGGCCATGGTCGAGATGGTGAGGTTGAAGTCGCACGGCGACGTGACTTCGCACCAGGCCCGCGGGTCGTCGTCGATGCAGGAGAGTTGATCGTCCTCTGACCAGGCATCCCCCACCTCACACTCGTCGTAGCATTTGCCTCGCTCGCACGCAAAGTCGCACAGCCCATAGTCGTCCAGTCCGGAGGTCAGATGGGCGGTGACGCTGGCGTTGACCACCGCGAACAGGTCCAGGTCACCCGTGGCGGTGCAGTTGCAAGCATGGATAGGGCAGAAGCCGTGGGCACAGCCGAAGCCGCAGAGATTGACAAAGTCCCCAGTGCCCTCACCAGCGGTGCAGGCCGGCGGGGCAAAGTCCGAGACCGTGGGGATAGTAAGGGCCACCTCCACGGTTCCGCACGCCGTGCTCGGACAGTAGCCGTGGTTGCAATCGAAGGAACACAGTCCGCTGTAACTAGCATCTTCCCCGGCAATCGGGTAGCCCTGAACGCCCGTGTCCTCGGGCACCGTGGGCGCCGGTCCGAGCTTCGAACACACGCAGGCGGTGATCGGACAGTACCCCCAGGAGCACGCCTGCTCGCAGAGACCCAGGAAGTTCCCATCCCCCCATCCTTCCACACAGGTCTGTTCGCCCAGCGAGTAGGCCGGAGTCACGCTGATCGTGTCGGTGGACATGGCGCTCCCGACCCAGGCGTTCCAATTCTCCACCCCAGAGGCGGCCGCGCAGCCAGCGGAGATTGACTGTCCCTGAAGTGTGGCAATCGTGGTGTCCCCGCGGCTGATGGTGATGGTCACCGCGCCCGAATGTCCGGTAAATGACACACTGCCATGGTAGATGCCCACATTGCCACTGGGCGTCGAGGTCCACGAGGCCCCCAGATCGGCGCCGCCTACCGAGACCGACACCTCCGCTTCCGAGGCCAATAGGGCAGAATAGAAGATCTTATCCTGCGCAATCTCATACGGCCAATACTCGACCTGGAGCTGACTGGCCGTGTTCCCGGTCGTTCCGCCGTCGGAGGCACAGGCTCCAGCCTCGTTGAGCCGGTACCAGCCGGTGACGCCTTCTTGGGTGACAGTAGAGATGTTGGTCTTATATGTCTCGATCACATAGGGCAGAAATGCGCGCCAGCCATCATGCGGCATGTCGAGGGCATAGTTGTACGGGGCCAGTCCAGTGTCAAAAGCGGTGTATGTCTGATTCGCCAAGGGATCATCGGCCGATTTGATGGGACCGATATAGTGCGACTCTCCGAAATCGTTCCAGGAGATGATCTCAATGAACTCGGGGTTCACGAACAGGGCCTGGGTCCACCGGTCAAACCACATGTCATCGCCCCGCCAGAGCCAGTTCTTGTCGTATCCCGGCATATTGGTGAAGAACCACGGGGAAACCGGCATCATGTACGGTTTGCCCTCGAGATAGTTGAGGTAGGATGCGTCCGTGTAGGTGTCCATGTCAGCCGGCCCATTGGGCCACGCGGCCCAGCTGAACAGCGCATCCGCTACCCCGTCCGCCTGGGCCATTGCCTCCATGGCTCCGAGGGAGGACCAGTCAGGAGCAAAGAAGCACCCAGTTTCCTCCTTGATCTCGACCCAATCCGCCGCATTGGTGGGCCCTTCGAAGGTGGAAACAAAGATTTGAGAATTGTAGTGGTAGTAGGCAGTGGACGAGCCATAGCCATTGATCAATTCGATTACGTCGTCCTTGGCCCACGCCCCGTTCCCGGCATAATCGAACGAAAAGAAGAGGGAGAAGCCCACGTTCTCGGCCGCCAGAAAGGCGTTCGCCACTGATCCGGTATTGACAGACTGCTCCGCGGCGATGTTCAAGGCAAAGGCGTCAATCCGAGCCTCGATGGCCAGGGTCATCTCTGACTCCCAGTCTGCCACACCATAGCCTTCGGTATTGGAGACCTGCATTTTAGTTAGAAAGCCCAGTCGGATGATTTCTTCGAAGCAGGTAAGGAAACGGGTATCTATGCACGTTACCATAAAATGGGCGAACACAGCCCGTGCATGAACATGGTGAAATAGAAAGAAGGAGGAAAATAACAGAATGAGTCTGCAGGGAGATGAAAATAAGGGAAAGACTGGCATAGTAAGGAGTGGAAAGGCGTCAAAGACCCCCAAAGACAAGACAGAAATTAAATGAATGAATGAATGCTACACTGACAAATATGAATAGTCGAAGATTGAGAGCAGTGACTGCGCTGCTTTTATGTTTTTCCAAGAGCCGCTCCCCCTCTCTCTCTCACACACACACTAGGGTGGGCATTAGTCAAGAATCCAAATAATTCTTGTCGACCAGTATCTCTTATGATGGGCGCTATTGAAACAAAAAGTAAACTTCTACGGGGTCCAATATAGTGCATCTGGTTCCGAGGCTGGCCATATTGGGCGATCCATATCGGAAATTAGACGCAGCATTGCGCAAACAGATAGTATCGGTTATTGATTTTTTGATATTCTCTGGTCGATACGACTCGTACCAAGAGCTCCGACTTAGAACCCATACTTCAAAGTTTCATAGTCACTAGTGTTCATGAACTAATTAGTCCTAATTACTAGTTCATGAACCCTCCTCGTGCGGAAGTATCCGAAAACCCGAATAATTAGCCCTAGCGTCTACTACATCCCTACCAGGGATAGTCCGAACATGCTACCTCACAGGATTACTAGTGGTAACGATCTTTGCCTATGTGTATAGAAGAATAGTATCGCGTATGAAGCTCGTGGTTACTGTCCACACATACTCCACGGAGGCATACTAAGCTATAGTAGCACTGCATGTGCATTTTTCCAACTTGGCTGCACTCCGGCGCTAATATAGACAGAGAGAGATAGAGAGAAGAAGGGGGAGGAAGAGAGTGGAGGAGGCAAGGCTTGATCGAAGTAGTATGGATTTATCGTTCAATCAAGAGCTGAGGGTTCAAAATAATAAGAATGGCAAGCCTCTGCTGACGATGTGCGGTTCTATCTATCTATGTTCCTGTCTATCCTCGTCGTCCTTCTGACTTGTTGCCTATCCATTTCCACCACTATGAGGCTCTTTTTTTTCTTTCTCTATTTTCTTTGCTGTGCCACGGGAGGCAAGGCGGCCGACACAGCTGGCATCTTTGAAACCCTGTTCTACTATTATGCCTACCGCATCGAGTTGAGCGCATTTCCAGACCAGGGAGACAGGATGATTGCCTGGGGATGCGTGCCCGCCACCGGCACTGTGTGTACTTTCTATGAATTTGTGCAGGCTGTCAGGGATCCAGGAACGACCGCCATCGATATCGATGCCGCGAACACAATCCTGCCTCCAGTGGAAGACGCGGATACGACTTTCGCCGACATGAGGTTCGTGGGTACATATGAGCTAGCGAGTCTCTACAGAGATGCTGGCAGGTTAAACCATGTCAAACTGCTGGGCACCATCACCAATCGCGTTCAAGAAGCGCGTGAGCAGATCACCGTCGACTCGGAACTTCTCGCGAATGCAAAGAAGGGATTGGAGCTCGCACAAGCCATGCGGTGGACAGAGAACCTGGTCAAAACCCAAGCGTCCTTTAACGAAAGGTATCCGGGTGTCATCCTCTACGAGACCGAAGAAAAGCTGGACAGTGTCACCATCAAGGTCATCGACTGGGTCAAAACAGCCGAGGTTCAAGCCTCGCGAAGTAACTCGAAGGCAACAGCCCTCCAGACCAGGTACAAGAAGTGGGGAAGCACCACCCCAGGCTCGGAATACAGGCACCATCAGAATATACTGCGTGCCTTTGCGATAAACCGAAATGTCCTCAATGCGGTTCCCAGCTGTCGCGCCTAGATTGGCTAGCACTTTTGTGGTTTTGGAGGTGGATTATGGTTTAATACATCATCATAACACATACCCGGGACATTCTACGGCAGGAAAACACACGTACCAGGAGAAGTGTCTCCCTCATTGATTCTGCGAAGAATATTCGGCTGCCTGCCCCTATTCGCAATTCTTCATTCACACTAAACTAGAAGTTTTAGCCGTGTCAACGGCGCCAGCCCCACCTTCTCGTACCTGTTTTTGCTGGTTTCCTTTGAAATTCGGGACTTTCTTCTAGTTTCCGAGACTAGTACTCAAATTTTATACTAAACTTTTGTTTGATACATGTTAAGTTACCCAGCACCTCGAATCTAAGTTGGTACATAATTGCTTAGGATTCGGCAACTTGTTAAGTGCGTCCTTCCTTGTGTTACGACTTTCTAGTCCAATACTGTTGACATGATGCTCGTCCCACTGCCTGGCGAGATCGTTTTCCAGGTGGTATCTTTCCTAAATACTAAGGATCTTTCTCAGTTGGTGCTCGTATCAAAAGACTACTATTCATTTTTCATTCCCGTTCTCTATGACCAAGTAGTCCTTCCTCTCAATGCTTATTGGGACGACGGATACAGACTCGTGGGGGGGAGCCACAAAAATCCCGTGCGGCGATTCTGCCAGGCGATGATCGAAAATCCACGCCTCGCGCCCTTGATCCGGTCCTTGACTCTGTACCCAAGTCATTGTGAGAAGTGGAGGACGCGTGCTGCACTCCCGGCCGTGCCGGAGGCGAAACTTCGCGCGTTGATGCTGCCGTACGGCGATGCCAAACGCAAGCATCGCCGCAAGTACCGCGCGTGGCGCAGAGATCTCCGGCCCGATCGAGAACGACAAGACGACTACCGACAGCCGTGGAACTACGAAGATGCCTGGCTGGCATTGCTGTTGGTCCAGGTCCGCCATCTCGAGCAGTTGGCCATCCGCGTGCCGGAGGAACGCATGCAGTTCGAATTCGAACACATCCCCCTGACGCAGGGATACACCACGCACTTTGACCGCGTGATCCACTGGGCGAGAAACCCGGCGCTCGGGATCCTCCCACGGCTATCGCACGTCTCCCTCCGCGACGGACCGGCATGGTGGGATGAAGGCGCCACCAACGCCGTGCCCCTGAGGCGATTGCTGCCCTACCTACGCATCCCATCTCTCCGCAGTCTCTACGTCCGCAACCCCTGTGACAGCTCCCTGCCCCGTCAACTGCTCCGGGGTCAGATGCCAATGTCTGCGTCACTCACGCACATCGACCTGCAGGGGCCGTCAGATGCCCTCTCGAACCTCCCCCAATTTCTCGAATGGTGCCCGAACCTCGAGTCGTTCGCCGTGGAGATGGATCGAAACTGGACCCGGCGTGGCTGGGTGGATGTCTCGCAGCTCTACCGTCCGCTTCAAAGGTCGCAAGCCTCCCTTCGCCATCTCCACGTGGCCTTCGCTGGCGTGGCGCGCGAGGTTGAGCAGGACGCGGAGAGCCCCCGGCCGACCTTCTGTGGCGATCTCTCGGGATTCCCGAATCTTCACACGGTGCATATGCGATGGAGCAGCCTGCTGCCTTTCCACGGCAACCGCGCGCTGGAGCCCGCGAAACCCCTTCGCGCCCTCTTGCCGCCCTCATTGCAGCATCTATACATTGAAGATTGCCTCATGCAGGCCTCGTGGGTGCTGGCGAGTCAGCTCGAGGACTTACTCCGATTTTGCCGTGAGGAGTGCGGGCTGCCAGCCCTGCAACGCCTCTTCTGTCGATTTGTTCCCAAGGAGCGCCATTACAGCCGAGAGGTGGCGGCATCATCAACGAAGCAGGAGGCTCCGGAGCCGGACCCTGCCTGGGAAGTCCGACTGCGTGGGATGCAGGAGGGATTCGGGGCGCTGGGGGTGTCTCTGCGAGTGATCGGACGCGGAGCAAGCGTGTCCTTTCCTCCGGACCGAGCGCTGAGGCACAAATGGCCCATGAGCGAAAATGGCGAATATTGGGACGACGATTAAAATTACTAGCTGTTTAGTAGGATTACGGTCACATGGGGGGAATGCGATAGGGTCGGGGTCGGGGTCTCCGTTTGTCGTGCTTTCACGGAGAAGAGAAACAATTTGCATGCCCCTTTACATTTTCACTTCTCGATGAATATGATTCGTGTAAAATGTATTGTACGGTGCTGTAGAGGTACCCAAAATTGACTCCGATCTCCACAAAAGGGAGGAAGTCCCTAGCCCTCTCAAAGCACTTAACGTACAGAGATTTCGAGCGCGCAAATTAAGGCCCGTTGTGCTAAGAGGCTTGTGCTTACAAGCCTTTCTGGCAGGGTCTTGTCTGTTCTTTACCGGGACGATTTTGTACCAAGTTCCTAGCTAGCAACTATTGATCCCCGAAATTGTCGGCTCCATTGCAAAATCCACTTTTTCCAGATTACAGTCCGGACTCGTAGTCGAGCCGAATTTATTGCCTCCGACATGGATCCAGGGGCAATTCGCGATCCGACCGGATTGGCCGGTCCCTGAATCCCTCCGCGACGGCCCGGGCAAATCCCCTGAAATCTTATTCGAGGATAAGACTCGTAGATAAATTTTCCTTATCTCGCTACCAATTTGACACATAGGAACTATTGAAAAGCTAGTCCCAACGTCCCACGAGATTAAATCTTTAGCCGGTGGTTCACCCCACCTATCATCTAGCCCTAGGTGCCTGGGTATAGGCACGCCCCATTTCGTTTTTCCAATAATCTTTCACAAAGGTCAAGGATGTATTTACTGATTAGCAACTTGTCTGTTTCTGCCGGCTTGATCTCCTTCCCTGAGATTTTCAAGAGGAGACCCTCAGCCCGGTGCTAAAATCGAGGAAAGTGGCTCTTGCCTCTACCGATTTCACATGGTAATGCGTACAGGTAATTCGAGCCATCAGATTGGACGAATCGAGCCAACTTGCGCAAGATATGCAAAAGGGGGGGAGAGATGAGGAAGCAGCTGATTTCCACCGTGACCAGCTGGATATCCAGCAGAACCAATGCCCCAGCTCCTCTGTACAGCGAACGCGAAACAACTCTTCTAGTTTCAGACAATCCCCTATTGTATGCTATCCATAATACTGCCATTATATCTATCGTCTCGCTGCAACAGCTTCGCCCACCCAAACCTAGAATCCTATACCATCTTCGAGTTTCTGTCCTCTTTTCTTCTCTTTCCTAGAGTCTGGCCTAAGTTCACTTTCAACTTACCCTTCACCGCCAGCCCAACAAGCTTACCTCTTTCTCCAAAGAAAAAGATCCAACAATGAGGCTTTCTTCTCTCTTCTCACTCGTCCTCCTGAGCGAGGCCGTCGGCCGTGTCTCAGGCAACAACAACAACAACAACAACAACAACAACAACAACAATTGCTTGGACCAGGTCTCCGCGAACACGATGGCGGTGTTCAGCGGCGCGCCGTTCACGCTGGCCTCCCGGTACAACAACGGATCGGCCTGCGCAGGCTACTGTGACGGCCTGGCCGAGTGCCACGCGTGGCTGTACAGCGTGCGAGGCGGGGACTGCCAACTCTATAAGAAGACCGCCCTCTCCACGTTCCCGTCCCAGCATTTCATGTATGGCGTCTGCGGGAGTCGTCTCCCTCCGTCGTCGTCGGCTGCTGCTGCTGCTGCCAGTTCTGCCGTTGTCGCGGGGGTTGGTTCGCCTGCCAGTTCCGGTATCAGTGTGTCAACGCCGGCGTTCTCTGCGGAGATGAGCAGTGGTAGCAGTAGTAGTGGTAGCAAGAGTATTGCTCTAAGCGTAAGTGCGGTTTCGCCGTTGCTTTGTTTTTTATTTGTTCCTTCTTCTTTTTTGTGGTGCCCGAGGGAATTCATCTTGTATATGATTCTGTCATATGCGAATTTCTCTCGGTCCAACAAAATAATTTCGAGTCTGTAACATTGGGTACTAAAAGGATGGGATAGAAAAGGCACCTCGACAACCACCGTCACCACCACCACGGTCATCGGCATCGAGATTAGGTCCGCCCTAAAAAGCTGTGTTGTGTTTCCCTCTTATTTCCTTCTCTCTCTCTTCAGAAAAAAAAAGGCTTGCAGGCAGATATGGTCAGATAGGATGTTCCATCTTACTGCGTCCGCACAAACGATTGTACAAGAACTTAAAGATTCTGTTGAAATTGTTTTCCTGTCAGGGGAGGATGATATCTGTTGGATCATCTCCGGACGACATTCAGTGTATGCTGGCTGCTGGCAGGTACTGTCTACTGTCTATGTATTCCACCAAGGGGGTAGGAAACATTACCCCTCCTATCCTCCTTGACCCCCAAGTTCAACTCACTGAAAATGTCGGCGTTGTGCGTGTAAAACCTCGGTTCAGCCAGGTCACATGATTTCAATCAGAACTGCGAGTATGTAAACACCACGAATTCGTGGAGATCTCTTCCTTCCTTACCAGTTTCATGAATCTCAAGGCATCAAGCTTTCCTCTTTGAGCAAGTATCTCCATCAGTATTATATGATAAAGCAACAGAAAACAAACACGAAATATTTTTTTTTATTACAGGGCTTCCGAATACAGGAGTCACTACCTATACTCTTCGATTATTTCAGCAGCCCCAAGATAAAACTATACTAAATATAATCTAAAGACCGATAGAATAACAATACTTTATAAGATTACAGTATACTATAATAATATATACTAAATATAATAATCTATAAAAATATCTAAACTTATATAAATAGCAAACTGGCCTAATTATAAATAATCTAAAAATTATAGAACAGTCGTACTAAATAATAGTATAAAAACATTACATATCTCAGGCCCTTCTTTTAAAAAAAGATGAGAAAATAAAAAATTAAAGTAGAATATACAGATATTCTTCTATTTAAAATCAAATCTTATAATTAGAATACGCCTACTATTTAATTTAAGAGCAAGTATAATATTCTTAATAACAAAATATATAAATTAATAATAATCAGAAGAAAGCCACAGGGTCCTTTTACTTTATAAAAAAATCTAAAAATCCGTAACAGAAATAAAATAATTAAAAGTAAATTATTTTATAACCGAGCCGCCGTCTAATAAAAAGACTACCGAAAAGACTAAGCTAAAATAGCCGATCAGTATACATTACTTAATATTTATAATTATATTTTAGAGTTTAATAATTTAATTATTTAAAACCGACGTCAGCATACAGCTGTTTAGTAAAAAGACTATTAATATAATTTAATTAAAATAGTCGGTTAGTATATATTATTCAACATCCGTAGCCGTATTTTAAAACTTAATAATATAGTTGTTTAAAACTAATACTAGTATATAGTTGTTTAATAAGAAGACTATTAATATAATCTAATTAAAATAACTAATTAATATATACTATTTAATATTCGTAGCTGTATTTTAAAACTTAATAATTTAATCATATAAAACTAATATTAATATATAGCTGTTTAATAAAAAAACTACTAATATAACTGTATTAAAATAGCCGGTTAGTATATACTACTTAATATCTATAACTATATTTTAAAATCTAATAATATAATTATTTAAAACCGATACTAATATACAGCCGTCCAATAAAAAAATTACTAAATTAACTAACTTAAAATATTTTTTAAATATTTAAAGATTTAAGCTTCAGAAATCTTCTACTGTTATTCTAACTATTAGTTAATCTTTAACTTTACTAATAAATATCTGCTTAATAATATTTTTTATTAATATAAATTTAAAACTAGAGTAGTAGATCTATAGTAGAGTATTTACTATTATATAATTATTTTAATAAATAAATCTTTCTGCATTATATAAAAAATTAAATAAGTCAGAATTAAATTATATTTAGATATTATTTAATCAGTCTTTTAAACAGCAAACTATAAATTTATATATATTTTTAATTTTAATATATTTATTGTTCCTACTACTTTTAATATTACTTTTATTAGAGCTAGTACCTCCAACCAGTAAAAAAAATAATTCTAAAAAAATAAAAAATATTACAGTTTCAAATCTAATTTTTGTTTTATTTTAAATAATAAATCTAATACCGACAGATGTATTATATATCAGCAGTAATATAATTTTTAATAATTTTAATTTTAATATTTTTTTATTATATTTTATAATTTTACAGTTTATATATATTCTCTTTAAACTATATTTTTATAAGGTGGAGATAATATAAAGCAATTCTACTATATATACTTTATTTAAAAATATAAAATAAGTATTTTTTATTTAAAAATATAAAATAAGTATTTTTTATTTAAAAAATAGTTTTAAAATAACAAATATAGAATTCAGACTGGTATTTCAGAATCTATTAATATATTAAGAATAAAGTAGAATCTGTCCAAGCGATTATTAATATTATTAAATAAGAGGTTAATAAGCAGAGAAAGAATATAAAAAAATAAAGATAAAATTAAAAATATAATAATTCTAATTATATATTAAAACTCTTTCGTTAGCTGATATATTTCTTTTTTATTAGCTTCAGTAAGAAGCTGACTTAGAATAGATATATATAGAGTGGCTTAACCTGACCGTTACATCTTAATCTTAATCTGGCCATAACCTGGCGGTTAGATTAAGATATAAAAAAATTTTAACTGTACAGTTAAAGTCAGATTAAAGTATAATTATTATTTTAACTGTTTATACCTACAGATTAGAAAAATTAGATATAACAGATAGATTAATAACCGCAGGTTAATTTATAATATATATATTCTTTTTATATAAATAATATATAAAATATAATATATTTTTAATTATAATATAGTAATATTTTTTTAATTTTAATCTATTTGTTTTATCTATTCTATTTATTCTATCTGCTTTATCTGTTCTATCTGTTTTATCTGTTCTATCTAATTAATCTATATTATATATTTTATCTAAAAAAATATACTATACTTTGCAAAAGACTTTTATAGAATTTAGTATAAAAAAATAATATTTATTATTAAATATATTAATAATATTATACTACTTTTTATACTGTTTAGAACAGTAATTATAATAATATAGAAATTATAAAAACCGGGTCTCTATTTCTATTTAAATATATATAATATTCGAAGATTTAGATAAGACTGGTTCTTCTATTATTAATAATACTTTATATTTAGAATTATTTTTTAAGATTATTTATATTTTTATTATTATTAATATAAAATATAATAATCATCTTATTTTCTTTTTACTTTTTAAATATAAAAATAATTAAATCTAGATTAAGATTATTAAAAATATTCTAATACTTTTTATTAATAATAAAATAATCGGTATATATCTGAAGTATAACTGCTTTAATTATATTAAAATAAAAATAGTTCCGGTAATAGTAGCAGATATTTTAAAAATTATTAAATAAATATTTAATATTAATACTATTAGTTACAACTAAAAGAAAATCTTTAATTATTTAATAAAGAATAAAAAACTAATTACAGTAGGATTTTTAATAAGTAAGAATATTAGTATATTCTATAATATCTAAAATAATATTAGTTTAATTAAAAAT